TAGTCGCTAACCATTATGAAAGTCTAATGATTCAGCCATTTATGCCATGGTCAAATACGTTTTTGATACTGCTTTGCATATTTTACAATAAGACCTAATTAAGATCCTGTCATTCATTTCATTAATACAAAGTAGCTTTCGGAGCGATGATTCTTTAAACTTTACTCCATCACACCAGGTATTCAAGCTTAAAACTCCATCACGCCTCTGCCCATCTTTCGTTAAACAAGTATACAAAATTATTATACTTTATTATTATTTAATTCTCGTTGGTGCATAGAGAAGTGAATTTCAGAAGTTATTAGCGGTATCGTTACTGTTGGATAAACGATTTGAATTTATTAGTTTATCGTCACCTTGAGATGCTTCTATCTCTACGAGGTTTCAATCGGTGATATTCCTTTTACCTTTGCTTTCGTACCATGATGCTATCCTGAATAATCTGACCTATTTTGATTCCCGTATCAGCAGTTGGCAAGTGACCATAGACTGCTTTATTCTAAAAATTTGTCTAACACTCTCCCCTTCGCAACATTTTCCCGGGATACGACGGTTTTGGATGGAATGAATTTATAGACGAATAAAGTTTAAGGTAGCCCGTGCAGTTTTGAACTTAATGGAGGAGAGCAATATACTGTTTGTAAAACTATTCTTGTTTGGCAATAAGAAAATGTGGAGCAGCTGGCCTGAAATGCCTAGCCATATAGCCTGTTTACCCCGTTGTCGTTCAATAGAAACAGTAGGCCTATTTCACTGGAGTGAGATTTCAGGTTGGCGTATTGAAAGGACTCGCTTTTGACGTTAGCGATTCTTGGAACGACCCTTTCGGCTCTAGACGAATCAACTTCGAAAAATGATTTCAACTGCAACCGAACAGCGCCATCATCTTATCCTTGTAGAAGGCCACTGAGATAGAGACCAAAACATCGGCAGTGGTCTATCGTTCAATAGACCAATTTTTTGCATTTTGTTTTACTAAGCCATGTTGAATTTACATTCCACCTGTTAAAGAAATTGTTTTGAATTAGAACAAAATGATACACAGACGTGCTACCTTTAGCAGACCTTGTTCATTAACTACTTACCGATAAACTACTTTGTTTCTTTATGATATGTGTAATTCATTTAACATTAGTAATAATACCAGTTACGTGCTTCAAACGCCGCAACCGCTTTCATATTCGTATTCGTGATTAAATTTCAGAATTATTTTTCAGCAAGGTCGAACTTTTCGGTAGATCGTTGCTACCGGGTGTTATGCCTAAACCTTCCAAACTTCATAGCGATCTAACGTAAGACTCGATTCAAGACGAAACTCAAGTCACAAGTTTTGCCTGACACATTCTCTACACAAATGGCTTGTCAACTGCTGCACCATTCGACACGCCGATGTCTTGGTTACCAGTTTCTGTCCTCTGCCTGTCGATCATCCAACTCCGCGTTGCCTAAGGAAACACTACTGTTTAGCGTTCTGGGCTTTTCAGTGCGAAGAAGGGTGAATCAAACAATTCGACCATTCACTTCGCGGTCACACATTTGAACAGCATTGATACTTGACTTGACATATGACCAAATAAAGATCAAATGACCCTAGCTAATTGTTGCTTTCCATATATTGCTATTTCGGGAACGTAGATAGCTGCTTTGAAGAGGTACTGACGAATTCAAAAAATCGACTGCGTAACAATTAAATATTACCTAACGATACATACGATATAGCTCAGTCTTCGGTGAGTTACCGGTAGTTTATGTAAAGCGCACTCAACCGTCGATGTCCTCTTTCAGCCAAGTCTAATTTTCCGATTCATGCTGCAGAACGGGTACAGCCAGCAATTGCAGTAGAGAAAATCTGATTCTTATGAAATGGTGTGACCGTCACAAGATGCGCAACAGCGATTCCATGACAGAGGTGGTCGAACTGATTCTATGTCGAACTTCTATTTTTCATCACGCAGAAGAAGGCCGTCTCGTTCAATGACAAATGAATGAATTCATCGCTTCTGCAATTTGTCTCTTGAGTGAAACGCTTCAAGGCGGTTATCTCACAGCCTTACATTCTCACAGTATGGCAGCATTTGACATTTGCAGCTGCATCTGTAAAAATGCCAATAAGCCTATGGTTGAGTGCAAGTTGCACGGAAACTGGATGTCGTCATCCGCGCAATCAACTTATATCACTAAATCTGAAACGAAATCTGGAGGCGCGCATCATTAACATGGCGACACGTGCTCTTTCTAGCCGACTGTTGTCTATTCGCTATCGACTATATGAGTTATACTTGTTATTGGTGCGCCACTGACACAAGTCGATGCACCTCCAGCAGATGCAGTTCCACTCCTTCTGCCTCCACGGCTGGCCAAGTAATTTGACGATCACAATTTCTTGTTAGACGACCGAGTGGACGTCTGCGGTCTAGCGGAACCCAGTTTAAAATTCCTGACGGCCACCAGTTGTCTTTCAGGCGAGCCACGTTGTCGGATCGTCTTCTCCCTCGTCGTGGAACGCGGAGGTCGCGTGTTATCCAGTCCGTTGTCAAACTTGTGAACTCGGAACGTAATCCCTTAGTGAGACTGTACACATTTCTCGCTCCATCGCTTTTTGCGTTTGTTTGTCATCCATCACTTTGTTTCCTTCCGCTTTCGTAGCTGACCACCAATTAGTGCCGAGAATAATGGCGTGCAGGACGGTTGAATCGAACAGTTCTTTCCTCGTTTACTGTAGAGTAGTGAT